TGAAGATGTTTCAGAACAGAACATCTTCTGTAACTTCTGTCTGCACTGCATGGCAGCCTGTCATTATTTTCAGAACGAGAGGGGGGAAAGGAAGTGGAGGGAGTTCAGTGTGGGGCTTTTAGTCCCCAATGTGGGGGGTTCCAATATACCCATCCCACCCTCCAATACTGAATGAGCTCCCTCTCCTTCCTTTCCCCCTTCCCAGTCTGAAACAGGGACAGGCTCGGAGAGAGGAGGGTCCGCTGCTACAGCTCCAGGCTGGTTCCCTCCCCTCTGGAACCAACAGTGAACTTCTGTTTGTTCCATGGAATCGTTTTAACTCAGACCACTTCCTGCAAAGCGTTCTCATTTATAGCGGGGAGCTGCATTTCCATCTGCACCCTATCATATTCTTTTTTTAAAAAACCAAACTAAAAATAGTCAAGGCACACAAAGAAATGTTAAACCCACAAGAAAGCACCAGAATCATACCAGGAATTAGACAGTATCTGAACTGGTTTTCTCATTTCTTTATGAAACATGTAAATCCAGGTGAAAACAAAATTAATATTTCTTCGATTTACACCATCCCCAGCATTTCTGACAAGAAAAGCAGAGGTAAATGTAGACAGAAAGGAAAATCCTAATCCTGTTATCAATTAAATCAATAGCAAATGTTCCAAAGTGTTAGTGACACATCTGAAGTATAAGAAAAATGTATACAATTTTCAATGTTCCTTCCTTAGCCAGATAATCTATCAACAGAAGTCACAACTTGAAAGAATGCATTGTATATGCCCTTTGCTTAAATACACTGTTAGCCTTTCAGACCAATTTATTAAAAGACAAACCAAAGCTATGGCTCGTTCAAACTCAATGGAAAGAGTTCAATGGCTATTGGATCAGTCTTTAAACAATTAACCTTTTTCCCCCATCAGTACTATGTGTTGTGACTATGCATCCAGCTGCCTGTTTCTGAACCATTCAGTATTTCTCAACCCATAAATCCCTCCCACTGCCAAACCCGAAGGCAATACCAAATATTCCACTGGTGACTTTTCTTATAATTACTTTCACTTGATTAATGCTCTGAGACCAACATTTTATTATTGCAAGACAGGACCACCAATCATGCATAAATGACCCCTATAACCACATCCCTTCCCAAACAGAATTGAGCAATGCCCATATGTCTTTCTTGGACAAGCTGATGTACGATATCGCTGGCATTGTATTTTGTAAGTTATTCGTCATAAGAAAATTGCTATCCTTTAGAACAAAATACTCTGTTCAGGATTTCAAACTAGTGATTACATGTTGTTGTGCACTTCAATGGTTTCCACTGCAGACTGTAAGAAGTGCTCTATGGATTCCTCTGTGGGTTACAATTACCACACCAGAGCCCATATGGATGTCTTTAGGGCTAAGGCAATAGGAAACGCAACAGAGTTTACAATATTAACTGTATTCATTTCTTGAGCCATTTGAATGCAGCAAAATTAAAAACAAATGTATTCTTGTCATAACACCACAACAATTAAGCCCAAAATATTTGCTTCTTAATGCATGCTGGGATGATCTTCCGCTAACCATCCATTAGACTCCTTTCAATATTTGGTTAGCACAAGCATTCTTCTAGAAGCTGGCCTGATTTCTTCCACAACTCAACTTGTTTTTGCCAAAGTCCCTTTTAGTTCAGCACTGGCTGCCTGCCTAATGAAACGATCTCTTTTTAAGCCAAGTCTGCTGTCTTCAGTTGCACAAGATGCATCTTACTTAAAAACATGTATAATGTGACCAGTGTTTAAGCCTTGAAAAACTACCATTTTAAAATTATCTCTAGTGAGAGTTAACTAAGTGCATATGTTTATACAACTATCAGGGTATAATCTTACAGCTAAGAATCACTTCCCAAAAAAAAATTTTTTTTTCTTTTTTCTTTTTTAAATATGTACGTTAAAAAAAAACTTTTCTAAGTACTGTAGTAGAAAATGACAGGATGTATAGTTAATAACCACGGTATAGTAACCACATATACAGGGAGAAAAGTGAGGTATATTAGGAAGCTAAAGTAAAATAGTTTCATCTGCTACAACTGTAAGACATTTTTACCTATTATAGGCACTAACGTAAATTAAAACATCAAGTTTTAATACTATATAACCTACGCTCAAACTATGATGTAGTGGATTTAAAAAATATATATTTTTGCTCGTAGTTTCTCAAGGGCCATCTTAGATTGGGAGCAAGCTGCATAAGCAAATGAGAAAACACAATAAAATCCACCTCTGCTTATTTCTTTAGCACAGCAAATTGAATCAGAGCTGGAACAAAGATACCTGTGTGAGAAGTTGTCCCTGTGTCAGGTTATTGATCCAACGAGTATATCGCTCAGTAGACTCCAGCGGTTCCCTCTTGACTTGGCAGCCTATAATCTAAAGCAAAATTAGATAAATCACACACCGTAAACTTTAGACATTCACACATCAGTGAAAGCCTTGGTAATTAAATACATTTTACAAGCAAAAAGTATTTAAAATTTAAGAGATGCTCAAGTTAAGGCTGACTGTGCAACTTTAATACATTCCCACTGTACACAAGCGATACAAAACAGTCTTTAATTTACGTGATTACTTATTAGTTTTTTGCAAAGACACCCTCTCTTTCTCCTTAGTTTCTACCTTCTCCAAGGCTCCTTTCCTCAACCCACTTCCACTCACATACTATATTTACATCCTCCTCCATGCTCTCTGGGCTCATTCAGCAGGCGTCATTAAAGGCCCAACTGGTGTTTCCCTGGTGCTCCTTAGGGCATGCCCTACTGCTCCCATTCAGCCTTCATGAACTCTGGCAATGAAGCAGTGAACACGACCCTGCCACCATTCTGAAACACAGTGAAGACAGATATTTCAAGAGTGGCAGTGAGCAGAGAGTAGGAGACAGAGGTCCATTAATGCAGCTTTACAATCTCATTTCTAGGTTTGATACATGCAGAGTGGGGAGCAGGTACATGGACATTGCTCATGAGTGGCACCCTTGGGAACGCCAAGGAAGCAGTACAGACATGCTCTGATAGCACAACAGAGATTGCCTCTCCACTCTCAACTCTGTGACAGACACCTGGTCCTGGACTCAGTACAGCTTACAGCAACCCAGAGCTACAAATGGTGATAAATCCTGCTCATCCACAAGCCAAATTATGCATAGTGCAGGGTGAATGTGCAAGGAATTTAGCAACTAAAATCTTAAAGAGCTCTAATGAGCGAGTGTGAACTTGGATTTTTCAAAAGCTTGTAATTTGGCCAAATATGCATAACCTCCTGGACACAGTAAAAGGCTCATCCTTAACATGCAGGCAACCCATCCTGCCAAAAGTGAAGTCCTTGTTCCACACATGGAAACACTAGATGTTTTTAAAGTAAAAGGTCACCAAATTAAGGTAATGTGCGCAAAACAATGCATTTTTCCCTAGCCTCATTCTCAGAAATGTCTGAACCATTTTGCCTGAAATGAAACAAATACCCTTCTGAGGCAAACACCCAGCATGCAAAACTTCAGCTCAGAGGTTTATAAGCAACTAAAAGGTCTCATAATAGATAGCACTCAACAATCGTAACAACAGACTACTATCCCAGTCTATAGTAAAACATGCCACAGTATTTGAAAACAAGTGAGGGAATCTGAATTTGACAAGATAAATACAAAATAATAGTAAAAATAAATTAAGATGTGCCATTTTCATAAATTATAAATGTTCACTCAAGCAAATACTAGTCTTGTTTTTAGAACTGCAACAATATCCTCTTCTCTGGTTGCCGCTATTTAGCACATGACATTAAGACCTTCCAAGAAATGCATTAAAAAGAATTCTGCTTTGTATAAGCAGGTAGGGGGCAGAATTTAACACACCCTACTTAGCTTTCATTATCTGCTATGCATTAATATATATGCCATGATATTGTATATAAATATTAATATGTTTGTTTTATTTGAATATAGACTAAAGTAAGACAACCTGATAAAATCGAGGTTGGAGGAACTCAGGTAGATAAGTTTCAGAATGTTTTTAAGAAGCTTATTTCCTTTTTAATGCCTAGAAAGGAATTGCACAAAATGAAGATAACCAAATATAATCTTTCAAGCTCTTCTGGTAATAGAAACATTTTAAATTTTGAAAAATGCAAGAAGCTGGGCTATAGTTGTGGACATCTAACTATGTACACTTCTGGTCAGGAAATAGAAACAATACCATGCGATTTATCTGACCAATCACAGCTTATCAACACAGTTTGATCATGGAAAACTTGCAAAGGACTACGGATGATCTCCCAGCAGTTAATAAAAGTCATAAAGGAATGTGAGGAATAAATACAAGTGAAAAGGCAAAGAAATCATGACTTGTTTACTTGACAGAAAAAGAAGCTGTAAGCTCACATAACTGGAATAATTTGCTCAATGAAACCTTTGGCTCACCATGTAAAATTTAAAACCATCTATCATTTGCTTCTAAATCACAATGAAGTAAAGACTCCTAAGGACAAAATTTAATCACAGAATCATAGAATCAATGAGTCGGAAGGGACCTAGACAGATCATCTAGTCCGACGCCCTGCCATGGGCAGGAAGGAGCACTGGGAGTGGCAGGGGTCATAAGACCCCAGCCAGGTGCCTATCCAGTCTCCTCTTGAAGATAAATTATGTCAAGATAATTTAATAATGCTAAGTCAAATGTTTTTAAATCAAATAAAAGTGGAAATCTTTTTACTTCCCAATTTTTTTTATATTTAACTTTCCAAATTTTTAAATATTTCAACAAAGCTGAGTACAAGTACTAATCCTTCAATGGAAGGGATCATTTTTATTTAAGAAACGGAGAGTTAAACTATTTACAAAGGTTTTTGCTAGCATTCATTAACCAAGATAGACTATCTTGCTTGTATTTCCTGGGGTTTTATAAAGTAAACCCTATGTGCATTGTAAGGACTGTGTGTGGAAGTTCAGAGAAGAATGGAAAAAATACAAAGTGCTATGCAAACACAATCCTGCCTTTATGAAAGGTATTCCATAACAGAAAGATAAGGAAGCTTAACTTCTATACACAAATGCCCTGACCCTAGGCTCTACAAATACAAGTTAATGAACAGCTGTCATGAGGTGAGAGATTAGTATAGGAGACCCAAATCTGTTTCCTGAAAGCCTGGTTTCCAATTAGAGCAGAATATGAGAATTGGTAATCTCTCCATATCCAGCCTGAAATCCAAGTGAGGAGCAAAAGCAGGGCAGGTTTATTGTTGTTATTATTTCTACTTTGGAGAGCCTCCAATATGCTCGGACCTTTACCAGCAGCTCTCAGATGTGCCGTCTGTTTAAGGCTACTTCTGAAATCTGGAACACTGTTGGGTACAGGCTCTCAGACAAAAGGGCAAAGGTTAACATTTAATGTCTTAAACTTCATAAACTTGCTCAAATCTCAGCCTGACTCTGTGAGCCCTTTATTCTTCCAAGACAGATAAAGACCATTTCCAGTCCTGCAAATTTCTGGGGCAATTTCCAGTGAAATTCTGGGGAAACTTTCCCTGCTTCTCCACTCCTCCTGGTCCCTGGGACCCTCCTACCATCCTAGACTTGGTTTAGCTAAGTCTGGGGAATACATGGGGAAACCTTCCTTGCTGCTGCAGCCCTGCTAGTCCCCAGGAGGACTGCAGAAGCTGCTGCTTCCTCCCTCTTCCCCAGACTGGGGTCACTCTGTTCTGAGAAAGGCAGAGGAGCATTGCTGTGGCCACAGAACCCTTGCTGCAAACTTAGATGTTGATGAGATCTCTGAGCTTACCAACATATGAGATTAGCTCCAGCCAGAGCTCTGAATCTGCCATGAGCTCTGAGCTGGTCAGCACAGGCTCTGCCCACAGCTCCTGCTTTTGCAAGGCTCTGGAGACAAGGGGGTGAGCACTACCACTCTTCCCCTCTTTTGTTGAATTTGGCAGGAGGTGGTGGAAGAAAGGGAGGGCAAACTGCTGACACATTCATCTCCTGGGCTCCAGAGCTGCATAAAAATCGGGGACTCTGTCCTAAGTCTGGGGCCAATCAGCCGGTAAGGTCAGATCTCACTGCACATGCAGAGCTCTGACATACTGGTGAGCTCAGAGCTCACTGCACATGTGGCACACAAGTGAAGGGGGTGTGGCCATTTTGCTACACCCCCACAGATCCTGGCTATAATTAATGCTGTACAGTTCCTGGCGTACAGGAATTTACAGGCAGCTTACTACCCAATGCCAAGGACATAATACACGGCTCTGAACCTCCCCTTATACTGTGTCCCATGCCTCGCAGAAGGCTCAGGCCCCAAGATGGATCTCTTTCTATGCTTACCTGGCATTTGGACCCCAACTGGATCCTTCCTTCTTAGGTGGTTTACTCTGCCCTCATTCTGGGCTGCCAAGCTCCCTGAACCCTTCTCCCTCTGGGCAGCGGCCCCCTCTGGGACCTTTGGCCACACAGGCCCTGGCCTCACCTTTAGGCCACTCTGAACCCCAGGCCCCTGGCCCTGGGCGTTCTGGCCCTTTGACTGTTCTGGTCCTGGCCCCAGCATTGACCAGTCAAGGGTTTCTCTAGTCAGGTGACTGAGCTGCTCACGCTCACTCTCTCATATGGGCCCACCTTCTCAGGTCCCTTCAAACACAACTCACTCAATCTCTAAGGCTGGCCAATGTGCAGTCCTTCAGGCCCACCCATGCAGATCCTAATGTATGCAGCCTTCTCACATGCCCTTGCTGGGCCCGCTACTCCGCCCCCTCACTGGGGCTCTCACCCTTATGCCCCTTGGGTCTCAGGCCTGATGACATGCCTGGACCCCTTGCCTGTCCCCTCTACAGGGTAACCCTCCAGATCGTGGGGGCTGAGGTTATATGGCGCCCCATACTCACCTTTCACTAGGGAGGCACTAGTGTGGCATTTCCTGGGGACCACCATGCCACAGGAAGCCCCACCACACCATCCAACGCTAGCAGGGTGTAGTTTTAGATCATTTCCCAGGACCAGGACCCTCCTCCATCCCCATAGTTCCTATGCGTAACCTCCACATGTTCTGGGAGCAGCAGCTCCACTGGGAGATGTTATCCCTCTGGCTCCCTGCAGCAACTGCTTGCTTACCTCTGAGGACCTGGGTTTACACTGAGGCTGCCTAGTCCCATCTTCCAATCCTGAAGCCCTCTTGCAGTCATGTGACTGCCTCATTAAGCCACACCACACCTGCTGGCTGTTTCACAGTCTGTTCAAGCCTTTTAAAGTGGCAGGCATCAAAGATGGCCTGCCACAGCAACGCATACATAGAAGAATGAATGGATACTGATTTGACATTACTTCCAGAAACGCACATAAGCCCATGGCATTTTACCTTTCCTGAGCATTCATTCCATCACTAACCTTAGAGTAA